AGACCTGTACAAGGACTCTACCCTAGGGATCCAGACTTGTGGAGACTCCACAAATACATTACTATATCATATGAAATCCAAGGTATATTTAAAATTTATTAAGAGTTAAATATTATAGGGATTTATAAAAATTTATATAAGTAAGTTGCATGACTCAGACCACAGTGCAATCAAATTAGAACTCAGCATTAAGAAACTCACTCAAAACTCCACAGCTACATGGAAACTGAACAACATGTAGTCCTGAAGGACTACTGGATAAATAATGAAATGAAGGCAGAAATAAAGATATTCTGCTGGTTCAACGTACACAAATCTATAAACATAATCCAACACATAATAGAACCAAAGACAAAACCCATAAGATTATATCAATAGATACTGAGAAGGCCTTCAACAAAATTCAACAGACCTTTATGCTAAAAACTCTCAATAAACTAGGTATTGATGGAACGTATCTCAAAATAATAAAAACTATTTACGACAAAACCACAACCAATATCATACTGAATGGGCAAAAACTGGAAGCACTGCCTTTGAAAACTGGCACTAAAAAAGGGTGCCCTCTCTCACCATTCCTATTCAACATAGTATTGGAAGTCCTAGCTAGAGCAATCAGGCAAGAAAAAGAAATAAAGTGTATTCATTTAGGAAAAGAGGAAGTCAAATTGTGTCTATTTGCAGACAATATGATTGTGTATTTAGAAGACCCCATCACTGCAGCCCAAAATCTCATTAAGATAATAAGCAATTTCAGCAAAGTCTCAGGATACAAAATCAATGTGCAGAAATCACAAGCATTCCTACACATCAATAGCAGACAAGCAGAGATTCAAATCATTAACAAACTCCCATTCACAATTGCTACAAAGAGAAATAATATACCTAGGAATACAGCTAACAAAGGACATGAAGGACCTCTTCAAGGAGAACTACAAGCCACTGCTTAAGGAAATAAGAGAGGACACAAATATATGAAAAAACACTCCATGCTCATGGGTAGGAAGAATCAATATTATGAAAATGGCCATACCGCCCAAAGTTTTTTTTTTTTTTTTGGAAAAAAATTTTTTATTATTTTCAGTAACATGTGGGTATGACACATCTCTTTGACAGTGTCTATTAAGTTTTGCATTTTGTTTAGTTGGGTGAGGAGAGGCGACTAATATATCCCACCTGCTACATACATAGACTATATAACATAGTATCTAATATATATATTAGATAACTCTCTCTTCTCTCTTTTTAAATTGGATAAGCCATATACTTACAGGTTCAAAACAAAATCTTAACAGCACTAAAGCATGTTTCAGAGGCAGAGTTGACCAAGCATCCATGGGCTATCCTTCATTTCCCAGTTTCCCTGGCAGTTTTGTTAAGCCCTTGGGACTGGTTCTGGCCAACGGAATGGAAATGAAAGTGTTCTCCTCATATATGGCACCTTGGAGCTAGCCTGCTTCCTCCATCTCCCTTTTCCCCTACTGGGGCAATCAGGAGGCCTTGGTTCTTGCCAGGTGGAAGACAACTGCTGGACCCCTAGTGGACTTCCTGGAAGTGAGAATACTCCTTCCCAGATAAGCCAGTAAGATGAAGTAATTTAAAGTTTCAACGCTATCGCCATCAAGCTACCATTGACCATCTTCACAGAACTGGAAAAAAAAAACACCTTAAACTTCATATGGAACCAAAAAAAAAATAAATAAAAAGCATGCACAAGCAAGACAATCTTAAGTAAAAAAAATAAAGCTGCAGGCATCATGCGATCTGACTTCAAACTATACTACAAGGCTATAGTAATCTAAACAGCATGGTACTGTTACCAAAACAGAGATATAGACCAGTGGAACAGAACAGAGGCCTTGGAAGTAATGTCACATATCTACAATCATTGACAAACCTGACAAAAACAAGCAATGGGGAAAGGATTCCCTGTTTAATAAATGGTGTTGGGAAAACTGGCTAGCCATGTGTAGAAGACTAAAACTGGGCCCCTTCCTTACACTTTATACAAAAATTAATTTCAGATGGATTAAAGATTTCAACATAATACCTAACACCATAAAAACCCTAGAAGAAAACCTAGATAATACCGTTCAGGACATAGGCATAGGCAAGGACTTCATGACTAAAATACCAAAAGCAATGGCAACAAAAGCAAAAACAGACAAAAAGGATCTAACTAAACTTAAGAGCTTCTGCATAGCAAAAGAAAGTATCATTAGAGTGAACCAGAAACCAACAGAATGGAAAAAAAATCTTTTACAATCTACCCATCTGTCAAAGGGCTAATACCCAGAATATACAAAGAACTAAAACAAATTTGCAAGAAAAAAAAACAAACAATCCCATCAAAAAGTGGACAAAGGACATAATAGACACTTTTCAAAAGAAGACATTTATGTGGCCAACAAACATATGAAAAAATGCTCATCATCACTGGTCATTAGAGAAATGCAAATCAAAACCACATTGAGATATCATCTCACACCAGTTAGAATGGTGATCATTAAAAAATCTGGAGACAACAGATGCTGGAGAGGATGTGGAGAAACAGGAACACTTTTGCACTGTTGGTGGGAGTGTAAATTAGTTTAACTATTGTGAAAGACAGTATGGCAATTCCTCAAGGATCTAGAAGTAGAAATATCATTTGACCCAGCAATCTCATTACTGGGTATATAACCAAAGGATTATAAATCATTCTATTATAAAGATGCATGCACACATGTGGGACTGTTTACAATAGCAAAGACTTGGAACCAATCCAAATGCCCATCAATGATAGACTGGATAAAGAAAATGTGGCTCATGTATACCATGCAATACTATGCAGCTAAAAAAAAAAGGATGATTTCACGTCCTTTTCAGGTACATGTATGAGTCTGGAAACCATCATTCTCAGCAAACTGACACAAGAACAGAAAACCAAATGCCGCATGTTCTCACTCATAAGCGGGTATTGAACAATGAGAACACATGGACACAGGGAGGGGAATATCACACACCGGGGTCTTTGTTGGGTGGGGGTCTTGGGGAGGGATAGCAGGTGGTGGGGAGAATGGGGAGGATAACATAAGGAGAAATACCTAATCTAGGTGTTGGTGGGATGGAGGCAGCAAACCACTATGGCATGTGTATACCTATGTAAAAATCCTGCAAGATTTGCACACGTACCCCAGAACTTAAAGTATAATTTAAAAAATAAAGAAATAAGTTGCATCAGAGAACAATATATTATTCTGATGATGTTCTTCTTTGTACACTTTATGATAGGACTGGTCATGAATATTTTAGATATTAGATGTAAAGTGGCAACCTGATGCTGACTATTATTTTCCTTAAGCTGGTAAGGTAATCTGTTGATAATTTAGTTTTGTCTTATAGAAGACATTGTTGGCTGAATACAGTGGCTCATGCCTATAATCCTAGCACTTTGGGAGACTGAAGTGGATGGATCCCTTGAGCCTAGGAGTTCAAGACCAGCCAGAGAAACAAGGCTGAAACTTCAGCGCTACTAAAAATACAAAAACTAGCGGGGCATGGTGACTTGTGCTATAATCCTAGCTTGGGAGGCCGAGGCAGAATAATCACTTGGGCCTGGGAAGGGGAGGCTGCATTTGAGCCAAGATCGTGCCACCGCACTCCAGCCTGAATGACGAGTGGGATTCCGTCTCATTAAAAACAACAAACAAAAAAAGACATTTTTGGTACTGGGATCCTCTCACAGAAATGGATGCAGACCTGTAGACCTCTCTGGATTTTGCACCTCACACAGTTGGTATGGAATAACCAACACTTAACTTGGCACTATAAGAAAATGTATAAGCTAACTGATATTAATAGCCAATATTAAGTAAACCCTATGTCACCTGCAGCACTGTTCTGAGAAACATACTTTTGCAAAACAGGTGATTGTGGCGTTTGCTGACATTGAAGGAGTTTACAAACAAAAACAGTATCTCCAAAGAACTGACTAAACAGTTAATTAGCTCTATTCCATGGCTTCAGGTGACTGTATTCAGGAGATATAAACATTCATTTAAGGAAGTTTAAACCCATTTGTTGAGTTGATAACAGGGAAATCTAGAATTCAAGGGAAAGAATCTTTCAAATATGTGTTACTAATACACTTGTATATATTAGGTAAACATATTTAAAATAAGAAATGCATAAAGGAGAAAAACAGTACATATAGCGATTGACTCTAACTTTCTTTTCAAGAGTAATACAATAGCCTTGTTGAAATGATGCTTTAAAAAACAAATTTATAATTTAAAAATGTAAATGTCATACAAATATTTGAGTTGCACACTAGAAATATATGAGTTATATTTTGTTAGGGTTATATATTGCTAAAAATCATTTATAATTCCCATACTTTTGCCTGCATGAATATAAATTTGTTTATGAGAAGTTGTTCCTCCTTGACAATAGTTTCTCACTTATGCTTGATCTGGAGGCAAAAAGAAAAACTTCTCTCAATATATACTTAGAGATGCCTGGATTCAGAAAGAATCGGTTTCAATAGTTAAACTTATGTAAGACTGAATATACAGAATACTGACTTCCTGAACTTAAATGAGAAACAGAAATATCAAAAAGGCTGGATCATTCACATCTGTTCAGTGAGTTGAGGTAGACATGTCAATTTTTTTCAAGTATTTCTTAAGTATGATATATAATAGCATGTTCAATTCTAGACTGTACTAAGGCCATTCAGCAGTTTTTAGATTTTTTGCTTTATTAATTGAAATATGGATTTAAAAATGGCCCACTGTGAGCAAGATGTAAATGCCTGATCTCTCTAGGTTAATTGTAGAGGAAGGGATCCAAAGGTTTACGGAGATTGGGATAGTGGAGTGGATTAGTCATTGTAAACCTGATTATCCCAGCTGGGAGGGGCCAGAAGATATACCCTTGACCAATGCCTGTGAAATAGATTTGTGAAGGTAGCACCTGCATCTTTTTTTAAATTTTTTTTTTAATTTTTTTTATTTTTCAGACATCCCTTTAATAACTTAAAAGACAAAGCATATACAACCAGCATATTATAGGCATGTAAATACATGTGTTCTTAAATGGATCTTCACTTGGAAGAAAGGATTTCCTCTTTCTCAGAAGGCGTTTAGACACATATGGTAAGCCAAAAGCTGGAGCTCATACGTCAGCATGAAATGAAGGTGTTTCTTCAGACTTCATAACCCACGTGACATCAACACTTCCTTTTCCCACTGATATATTCTACACTTCCAAAACTTCGTTTCTGTCTGAGCACAGGCGCACAGTCATCCCTATCAGTGTGTTCACTTGATTTTCTTGTCTGCGTACATTTAATTGTTGTAAGAAACTTGGCACATTCTGGAAATCCACACGACCACGCGAGATCTTCAGCTGTTTGCCCATTCTTATTACATAAATTGATTTGGGCATCACTGGTCACAAGCAGGCTAAGGCACTCCAGGCTTCCAACCTTTGCTGCCTTGTGTAGTGGAGCTTCTCCTAAAACATCCTTCTGGTTGAGGTCAGCGCCTGTTTGCAGTTGCCAGAGAAGAAAACAAGCAAGGCCGCCTCCTGCAGCCAAGTGGACAGGCGACTGCTTGCAGGGATCCGGGCGTGCGTTGACCGAGGCCCCTTTCTCCAGCAAATACTTAAGACCGTCCACCTCCGGGTTGCTTTAAATTCTCCCGTACTAGGGCGGGACCACGCACTCCTACCTGCCCGGGTGTGGCGAGTGTCCCACCGCTCTGCACTCCCAAGGACTTTTGTCATCTGCCGTAGGTGGGAAATGTTGTTGCACCTGCATCTTTAAAAAAGTTCTGTAATTGCTTTCTCTGTATATCATATTTAACAGTGGGAACCACTGTCACTCAACTACAAAATTTAAATACAGTGATAATAATTGGATCCCGAGCTGGCAGGGGCCAAGAGGTGGCATTCAACTTTCAAAGGAAAGGTAGGCATAAGTCCCATAATGGATAGCAGAGGCAAAGTGGCAATCTGAATAGTCTGACTCATGTAGGCCTCTGGCATTGACTAATTAATCATGATTTCCCAAGAAGTGAAATTGATAGAAAGCCTACTACATTCCGTCTGAATTTATCCAAGCAGAAACCTTCTAGGTGGAATGGACAAAAGACTTATTTGAATTAAAAACTGAGAATTACAGCCCCACAATTAATTTCCAGACTTGAACCAGTTTATAGATGCAGAACTCCTTGAATAAAAGGGAGGGTGGATCTCCTTGAGGAAGGACCCCACTATATTACTGACAATTTATACAGTGAATCTTTGTTCCATCCTTCCCCAAGGAGATCTTCAGCCTTTTGCAAGAGTAACTGCACATTGGAGAAAGGGAAATAATCAGACATTTTAAGCACTACTGGGCACTCACTCTGAGCTGATGTTGATTCCAGGGGACCTAAAATGTCATTGTGGTCCTCCAGTTAAAGTAGGGGCTTATGGAGGTCAAATAATTAATAAACTTATATCTCAGTTCTGACTTTCAGTCATTCCAGTGGGTCCCTCGACTATTCCTGTGGTCATTTCCCCCGTTCTAGAATACATAATTGGCATAGACATACTTAACCGCTGGCAGAACATACACATTGGCTTCCTGACTGGTAGGGTAAGGGCTATTATGGTGGAAAAGGCAAAATGAAAGCCATTACAGCTGCCTCTACCAAGAAAAATCGTAAATTAAAAACATTATTGCATTCCTGGAGGTGTTGCAGAGATTAGTGTCACCATCAAGGACGTGAAAGACACAGGAGTGGTGACTTCCACCACATCCTTGTACAATTCTCATTTGGGCTGTGCAAAAGACGGACAGATCTTGTAGAGTGACAGGGTATTATCATGAGCTTAACCAAGTGGTGATTCCAATTGCAGCTTCTATATCAGATGTGGTTTAATTGCTTGAGCAAATTAACACATTTCCTTGTACCTGGTCTGCAGCCACTGCCTTCGTAAATGTTATTTTCTCCATTTCTGTCCAAGAGGCCCACCAGAAGCAATATGCCTTCAGCTGGCAAGGCCAGCAATATACCTTTACTGTCTTACCTCAGGGTGTATCAACTATCCAGCCTTGTGTCATAAGCTTATTTAGAAAGAATTTGATTGCTGTTCACTTCTGCAAGACATGACATGGATCCGTTACATTGATGACATTATGCTGACTGGATCCGGTGAGCAAGAAGTAGTAAACATACTAGATTTGTTGGTTAGACATTTGCATACCAGAGTATGGGAAATAAATCTCACTAAATTCAGGGACCTTCTACCTCAGTAAAATTTCTAGGGGTCCAGTGGTGCGGAGCCTGTCGAGATATTCCTCCTAAGGTGAAGGATAAGTTGGTACATTTGGCCCCTCCTACAACCAAGAAAGAGGCACAACGTCTAGTGGGCCTATTTGCATTTTGAAGGCAACACATTCTTCATTAGGGTGTATTATTCAGGGCCATCTACTGAGTGACCCAAAAGACTTCCAGTTTTGAGTAGGGTCCAGGACAGAAGAAGACTCTGCCACAGGTCCAGGCTGCTATGCAAGCTGCTCTGCTACTTAGGCTATATGACCCAGCAGATCCAATGGTGTATGAAGTGTCAGTGGGAGACAGGAATGCCATTTGGAGCCTTTGGCAGTCCCCGATAGGTGAATCATAGCAGAGACCTCTAAAATTTTGGAGCAAGGCCCTGCTATTTTCTGCAGACCACTATTCTCCATTAATACAGCTCTTGGCCTGTTACTGAGCTTTTGTGGAAACTGAACATTTAACTGTGGGTCATCAAGTCACCATGTGACCTGAATGGCTTATCATTAACTGGGTGCTTTCTGACCCCTCTAGCCATAAAGTGGGTCATGCACAGCAGCATTCCATCATCAAATGGAAGTGATTACGTGGTCAAGCTCAAGCAGGTCCTGAAAACACAAGTAAGTGACATGAGGAAGTGGCTCAAATGTTCATGGTCTCCACTCCTGCCACCCTGCCTTTTCTCCCCCAGCCTCCACTGATGGCTTCATGGGTACTTTTCTACAGTCAGTTGACAGACGAAGGCAAGACTAGGGCCTGTTTCACAGATGGTTCTGCATGCTATGCAGAAACCTCTTGAAAATGGACAGCACTACAGCCCCTCTAGTACATTCTGAAGGACAGTTGTTGAAAGAAATCTTCCCAGTGGGCAGAACTTCGAGCAGGGCACCTGGCTATGAACTTTGCATGGAAGGAGAAATGGCCAGATGTGTGGTCATATACTGATTCATGGGCCATAGCCAATGGTTTGGCTGGATGGCCAGGGACTTGAAAGAAGTATGATGGGAAAACTGGTGACAAATAAATGTGAGAAAGAAGTATGTGGATGAAGCTTTCTGAATGGTCAAAAACTGTGAAGATATTTGTTTGCCATGTGAGTGCTCACCAGTGGGTGTCCTCAGCAGAGGAAGATTTTAATAATCAAGTAGATAGGATGACCCATTCTGTGGACGCCACTCAGCCTCCTTCCCCAGCCACCCACATCATCTCTCATTGGGCCCATGAACAAAGTGGCCATGGTGGCAGAGAAGGAGGTTATGCGTGGGCTCAATGACATGGACTTCCACTCACTAAGGCTGACCAGGCAACAACCACTGCTGAGGGCCCAATTTGCCAGCAGCAGAGACCAACACTAAGCCCTTAACACAGCACCATTCCTAGGGGTGATCAGTCAGCTACCTGGTGGCAGGTTGGTTACATTGCACCTCTTTCATCATGGAAAAAGCAGAGGTTTCTCCCAATGGAACACATGCTTACTCTTGATACAGGTTTGCCTATTCTGCACACAAAGCTTCTGCCAAGACTACCATCCTTGGACTCATGAAATGCATTATCCACCATTACGTTATTCTACACAGTATTGCCTCTGAGCAAGGCACTCACTTTAAGGCTAAAGAAGTCTAGCAGTGGGCTCATTGTTATGGAATTTACTGGTATTACCATGTTCCCCATTATCCTGAAGTAGCTGGATTAATAGAACTGTGGAGTGGCCTTTGAAATCACAATTACAATGCCAACTAAGTGACAGTACTTTGCAGGTCTAGGGCAGAGTTCTCCAGAAGGACATGTATGCTCTGAATCAGTGTTCAACATATAGTACTAATTCTCCCACGGCCAGAATTCATGGGGCCAGGAATCAAGGGGCAGAAGTGGAAATGGCACCAGTCACCATCACCCCTAGTGACCCACTAACAAAATTTTTGCTTCCTGTTGTGACAGAGGTTTTAGAGGTCTTAGTTCCACAGGGAGGAATGTTGCAACGAGGAGACACAACAACAATTCCATTAAAGTGGGAATTATCATTGCCACCTGGACAAGCATATTAATGCTGCACTGAGCATGTGCACACCCGGCCAGGCTATGATAGTGCCTGTGCTTGGTCCAAACTTCACTCCAAGATCAGAGCAGGTGCTGGAGGCAGGGAGAGAGAAGGCAGCAGGAGCAGACACCACCAAGCCTGTGTGAAAGAAAAGGACACTTCCCAGGCCCCAAGAATACAGAGATGCCCAAGTCAGTAGCTGCAGCTGCACCCCAGAGGGCAGGGCTCCTGCTGGCTCCTGGCTCCCACTGGCTCCCTGCAACACGCAGCGCTGGACACGCCTGCCCCCTTGCAGCCAATGTCATGGCAGCGGCCTGTCTAGATGGGCTCCCACTGCCATCACTATTAGGATTAATCTGAACTATTTACAGGTAAGTCACTTCTGTCTTACAAGAAAGCTCTTGGTAGAATGATCACAGCAAGTTACTCCTGCCACCCAATGATTTTAAAACATCATTTAGAATGATTCATAAGATAAAGATAAAAGAGGTATGTGTATGTGTATTTAAATGTTTCCTAATTATAAAATGCATTTGATAAATTATAGGAAGGCATACATACAAAGAATGGAGTCAATGAAACAATTAAATAGTATTTTACATTATTCAAATAAATGTAAAAGGTATTATATTACTTTTCCACTGCTGCCATAACACAGTCTGATAAACTTCATGGCTTAAAGCAATATAAATTTATTATCTTGCAGTTTTGTAGGTAAAAAATTTGATACAGGTCTTCTTAGGCTAAAATCAAGGTACTGGAAGGCTGTAATCATTTCTGGAGATTCTTGGGAGAAATTTGTTTTTTTTTTCGCTCATTCAGGGTGGCAGAATTCAGCTCCTTGCAATTGTAGGGCTGAGATCTCAGTTTTCCTGTTGGCTGTTAGTTGAAGGCCATCTCTAGCTTTTAGAGACTGCCACATTTCTTGGCTCAAAGATCTTATTCTCATGGCTTATTACTGCAATCCACTCTTCTGCCTCCATCTTTTAATAATCATGTGATTAGATTGAGTCCACTCAGATAAATTTCCCCTCTTGAAATCTTTAACCTTAATCACATCTGCAAATTTCTTTTGACATATGAGGCAACATACAATGTATCACGGACATTGTTGGAGTTCATTATTTGCCCACCACAGATATTTAATATGAAAAGCAAACCTACCTTATAAAATTATGCTTAACTTAAGAATGTAGGAGAAAGGATAGCTTATCTATTATTTAAAAAGTATAATATTTTCTGGATTATTTCCAAATATTATAAAAGCTTATTTTTTATTGTATATCGTAACCTAATTCTTTAAGATTTTTAATATTTAGCAAAGCTA